AGGTGGTGGCACCACTGAGCTAATCCCTATCATCTTTTCTCAGTCTTTTCATGGATTGACCATATTAGAGGAAGTTGGAGTGACCAGTACACAAATGCAGACAAGATGTCTTGACCTCCACCCAAATAGCAAGACGTGCTGTTGATTCACTGGCCTCTATTCTGCTGGTCTAAGCCATGGTCCCAGCCCTGCCTGGGCAGAGGCTCTCACTGCACATCATAATCTTTATCTGATTAATAGCTGTGCTGTGGGTGGTGAGAGATTCCAGCATCTCCAAGCTCCAGATCACTGTACAAGCTCCTTCATGATAACAGGACAGCACAGTGCTGCTTCCTAATCTGGGAGTTGCTTTCTATCACTTCTGGGGTGAACATCCCCATGGGTTCTATCACTGTGGCACCATTTTACCAAAGCCCTGACATTGATGACGGCCTGTCATCAACAACATAGAATGAAGAAAATTATCAGGAGCATTTCTTGGGGGGGTGGGTTGGACATTTACAGGATTGTCATCCCTGCCTCCACATCCTGAATTGATACAAAACTTTTACCTTTCATAGTCATTCCGAAATTGAGGCAGAACATGAGGTCCCACAATGTCAGATCCAGTGGAAGAGGATACATCATATGGTTTTGTTTGAGAGAAACTCCAAAAACCTTTAAAAAGGATTCAGGACAGTGGGGCAGCCCAGATATACGTCCATGAAAGAGGACCTCCAGAACTGTCAAGCACAGTGTGATAAGAATGTACTAGGCAAGTATTTTGAGAAGGAGTAAATGGCAATGTCTCTTAGTGTAATCTATATAAAAATTTTTATTTGTAAATTACTGTATTTGCTGATCACACTTCATGCAGTGCTCTAGAAAAAAGACAGAGACAGAAAGATGCAAACAGAGATTAAAACTCCAGATTTAAGACCCATAGGTCCAACTGTTGATGAGAATGTGTAGCAACTGGCTTTCTCATATATGGCTGATGGGAAGGCAAACTGTACAGTCATTGTGGAAAAGTTTGGCTTTTTCCTTAATGGGTGAACACATACTTGTCACATGACTCAGCAATTTCTCCCTCAGATCTTTACCTCAAAGGAAATGAGGGCATTTGTCCACACAAAGATGTGTCCGAAAATGTGTAGAGAAGTTTTATTAAAAATAATCAGACAGAAAAAAAATCAGACAGGCAAGTCATTCAGAGGTACATTACCTGGGAAGTGGGCATGTGTGGCATCTCCCTACGTGGAATGCCATCCCACAATAAACGGAAAGAAGTATAGCTTGAATCTCAAAAATGTTAGATGAACAGACAGAGCTAGTCACAATGATTTCTTTGATACAACATTAAAGCAAGAGCAAAGTGTGGTAACAGAAAGCAGCTACATCCAGAGGCTCTATGGTTAAGCATAGTGTATGAAGGAAGAGGGATGATCCCTCTGGGAAAACAGGTGCTCAGGAGGAAGAGTTGGTCAGAGGCAGAGGGGCAGAGGCAGGCAAGGGTCTCTACGATAAAGGAATACAGCCTCCTAATGACAGAGAGAAAATGCTTTGGGGGAACAAAGAGGCAGATTGAGCACAATTTGGCCCCTGTATACAGTGAGAAAAAGTATTAAGAGGTTCTTTTTGGGGAGGGTAGGGAGGGAGAAGTTAAGGGAAAACAATGAAGTGAGAAAGAAAATGAATCACATGGACCCTCATGGTGAGTGGGAGATGGCCAAGGGGTCAGAAGGCATCGAGGGGAATTTTGAAAGGCAGGAAGACACCTTCCTGGAAAGAGGGGCCAAGGCATGTATCTCTTTTCCTGGATGTGTCTGGACCTTCTTTCCACCAAGCCCATTCAAAGAAAGATCTTCAGTTAAACCTCTTTGAGAGGGGCAATGATAATGTGTGCTTGACCCCCTAGTGTCTGGAGATCAGCTAAGAGTAAGAGCAGACTTCAGGAGGTCTAGGGGTGAGAATGATATCTTTCTAGAACTTGGATTGATGCTGGGTCTCATAGAAGTAGAGCCATGGGATCCTGGGGAGACAGACAGGTTATGCTGTGGTGGGACTTCATCTGAAGCTCTCCTGCCTTACTGTTGGAAACAAGGTATCTAGGTCCCAAGCTGGTTGGAATCTGGGGTATGAAGTAGTGGGCCCCAGGGTAGAGCAAAGACAGTGGGAAAGGTCTTGGATAAATTATGACCTTATACTTCCCAGGTGAGTAGTTTGAGCAACTTACTGAGTGTTACTAAACTCAGTTTCCTCATCTGTACAATGTGGGGATGGGGGCTACTATCTGTTTCCTACACTAGCCATGGGGATTTACTGAGATAAGGGATGTAAATTCCTGGTTCCATAGACCCAATAAAGGCATGAGTGCAGACCTGAATACCTCTTACCTCACCTGGGAACCACATCTCTGAGCTGTCTATTATGGAGTCACATTTCAGTTGCAGATGTGCTTACACTGAAAATATGCTACTTCGAGTGCAGGGTTCATGAACATGAAGTCTCCCATCATGTCCTGATGCTGGGCTTGAGAGTCTGAGTTCTTCATTGTCCTCCAAGTACTCTCCATCAACAGGTCACTAAACACTGCAGCCAACATCAGTTTGGTAGTATGCGGATGAGATTAGGTGGGTCTCTCTCAGTCATGTTGGTCTTGCTGTCATGGACTGAGCTTGAACCCACTGCCTCATGCATGCTGGTTGATGAACCCACTGAGCTATATATTTATAATCTTCTTGTAGAAAAAAATTTCCTCCAAAGCCCAGCTGACCACAATCTGATACTCGTAGGCAGGGTAGAGCCCTTATCAGCATGGGCAGGTACAGAAGTTCATAGGATCAAATTCAAAAGGTTGAGACCCTCTGCATTCATTATGCTAGGATTTACAGACACCATGTATCAATAGCAGAAGATTTTTTCCAGGGTTTGTGCAGTGGTCAAAACCAGACCCTGGGTTCAGATTTGCTCCAAACTAACCTCAGCTCTGAATCTCACTGATGACCTGCTTATGTATAATTCTTTTTTTAAACTCCTTCCCTATCAAGGCATAGGACATGGGCTCTGGGGACCTGGGATGGAGCTCAGACTTCCAGAGAGGCTTCAAGGTTTTTAGGGTCTTGGATCTTATTCCTTTTGGAAGCTGGAAAATTCTCACTCTTAAGTTTCTATGAGAACGAAGTGTTGGCATTCATCACTTATTCCAGTACATATTCAGCCTTGGACAGGGAGAAGCTCCCCCACTGGTGCTGCATGGATGAAGGGAAGTTGGTGTCTCACAGAAGAGCAGTGAGGTGTCCCTTATCAAACAACCAGACACTCATGCAATCTCATCTCCATCAATCTCTTCTTATAAGAACATACACTTGCTCCTTGCCAATGGCACTTGACCTTCTTGGTTGGCATAGTGGGTGTGGAGCATGGGGTCCCCAAAGATCCACTATTTTGCACTCCTTAGGGATTTTTAGTCTACAGTCTGGGTTCAGGGCTCCTATGTGTTCACAGACAATCCAAACCTTTCCAGGGATGCTTCATCTGAAGGCAGCAAACAGTTGGTGCAACTCAAATCAGGGGACATTATGTCTCTGCTTTGTTCTTTGAGAACCTAGAGATAATACCTTCTGGGTACCAAGCCCTCACCCAGAAGCCTGGAAAAGTTCTTCTACCCTCTGGAGCCTCAGAATACTCATTTGGGGAATCCCACCAATGCAGAGGAAAACTGGCAGTAGGATTTAGACGAAAGGCTCAGAATCCAGAGCAAAGCCCCTGTTCAGATGAGGGTTTGAATTTATCCAGTTCCCAAGAAAGCTGACTTGGGATGGTTGAAGGTACCACTTATCTTACCATTTCTGGGTTCAGCAGCTTCAGAGGGGCACAAACCACAGTAGTCTTGGGAATTCCCAGAAAGTTGTGGACACCCATGTCGCTGCCCTTCATATAGACTAGAATTTCCCACATAGCCTATGTGTTTTGTCTGGATAGGTTTGACAGAGTCCTGGACTGTGGGAAGGCAATGCAAAGCAGGTTAGATCTTTCCAGCCAGCTACCTCCCACATGTGGGTGATGCCACTTTCTTGTCACCCTCAGCTCAGTATTGCGAAGGAACTCTGATATGCAAATGCTGGTTTCACACACTTCTAGTCTTTCCCACTCAGCTCCCACTCCTTTTACTGGGCCTGTCCCCAGCCTACCTCAACAGGCCCACTCAGGCTCCTTGGCGCTTGGCATTATCATTCAAGCCTTGGAGCATCCAGCAAAGGATGCTCACTCACTGACACATTATCACAGAAGCGGGAGGGGGTCCTTTGTAATAATGCTGCCAGCTTTTGTGAGGCACAGGGAGGACAGCGGAAATCAGTGGAAAAGTTTCCCAACCTCAAGGATCTCAGGCTGGAGGTGATATGACATAAAGAAAGCATTCTTCATGCAAGGAGTGGTGTTGTTAGGAGAGCTAGGAAACAGATGTACATAAAATACCCAGCCTGACTATGGCTGGGGTCAGGAAGGGAGGAAGCAATTGAAAGTCACCTAACCATCCAGATAAAAGTATGTTGTCTGATCCAGATTGTTGTGAAGATAGATGATGGACCCATCGTGTCTACTAACTATTTTCTACCCATAATGGGCCCATCCCCGGGTGCCTTGTACCCTTCATTTACCCTGGTCCTCTTTATAGGGATGTGTTCAGCCAGAGTCATGGTTCTTTTGTTGTCATCTCCACCAGGTCTTTTCTCCTGTCACTGTACACCTATGATAGCCTCACCCTGGTCCCCAGGAGTAGAAGCAGATGCCTGTATCTCTGTAGAGTGTTGTGCTCCAGCCCCAAGGTCTTGGTCAGCTCTCGCCAATTTCTTCACTGCTGCACTTAATGGCAAGCAATCAAGCAAAACCTTGTCCAGTGTATAGTTTGCACCTGGCAGGGAGTATGTGTTGGGTGGCCAGAGAGTGACACTGAGTGTCCAGCAGTAACTGCAAGCCATGACCAGTAGGGCATGGCACCTTCTCTGCTATGGTTCCACTCAATGCACTCGATGTAGCTTCTGCAGGCCCTGTGTGATACTATAAACACTTTCCTCAAACTGGGGGTTGCTATGTCCACTGATTTTGCAGTTGCAGGTCTGCAGAGACAGTGGGAGGTGTAGAGGAGGGAGTTAGAAGCTGTAATTAGGAACTTGGCTAAAGAGAGTGTTTTGGTCACTTTTCTGGTCACAATAGCTCAGACCCCCAGCTTAAAGGAGAAGATGTTTACATTCAGAAATTTCTGTCTATGCTCAGCTGGCTCCAATGCAGAAACAGAATGGTGGAAGGGCCTGGACAGAGCAAATCTGCTCAAATAATGATGACTATAAGCAGAAAGAGAAGGGAGGTGCCTGGGAGGGTTCGGGTCATGTCGCCAGTGATCCGCTACCTCTAGCCACACCCGCCCCTTAATAGCAAGTCAGCTTTGGCATCCCTATGATCCAAGACTCTTTTAAACACATGAAACTTTTTGGGGACAACCCAGATCCAAACCATAAAATGGAGGATTACTACAGATGGGGAATTAGATTTAACTTTAATGGAGCTCAAAGGGACAGTTTGAGCAAAGGCAGGGAGGTCTGACTATAACCTCCATACTGAAAAGTCCTCTTTGCCTGTTGACTCATTGTTGACTGGGTCCTTTTCAAGGTCCCCTCATCTCTTTATCGTCCAGTTGTGTGGGTCTCTACAGACTACTCTGTATTCTATCATGGCTATTTTATTGGAACACACTGGAGACTGCAGCACATCTAAAGGACTCACTCTTCTGCTTACCCACCCTCCCACTTGTGGTTTCTCTGTGGTCCTATCCCAAAAGATGGTGTATACTGTCCTTTATCCACTTGACAGTCATTTAACAGAACTTATTGGTTCCAATGCTGTGGACCCTTCAGGGCTTTTCCGGTATAATCTCCAGGAACAGACACACATGATGTCTCTGAGATACAGGCCCACATATAAGAGAGTCTAAGAGGTTCCTTCCAGGATACAGCCAAAACAGGAGGCAGCAGCCTGACTTCCCAGAGGAAATGGTTTGAGCTCAACCTGGCAACCAGCCATGGTCTCTTTGCAGAGCCCCGTGGGTCCAGGTTCACAGAGCCCAGTGTCCCAAACAACCCATTTAGGTACTTTCTAAGAGGAACTGTACTCTGAGTCTATTGGAATAGCCACCACAGAGCAGGGGACAGGGATTTATCACCGCCACCTAATCAACGAAGCCAGTTGTTGATTCATTGTCTCCTATCCAACTCTTGTTGCTCCAAGCCTTTGGTCCCAGACCCTGACTGGCCAGCTGTTTGCTCTGTCCTTAAGTCTCTTGAACTAATTTATACCTGGACTGTGGATGCTGAGAGAGCCCAAGCTCTTTCTGTTGCAAGGTCATGGTTCAACTCAAACTCCTAGATATGAACTGGACAACACAGTGCTCTTTCCTAATCCCAGGGCTGCTGTCTACTACTGCTAAAGTGAAAGGGCCCATGTGCTCCACCACTATTGCATTATTTTAATAAAGCCCTGGCAATGATGATGATCAAAGTAATAGTAATAATGTGTAATGAATTAAAGTCTCAAGAGCCCTGCATGCCTGGTGGGTGGTGTTTTATATATAGTGATCTTTTGCACTAATTCTGCCAGGTCCTGTGAGGCACAGGGAGGACAGTGGGAATTAATGGAAAAGTCTCTCATCCTAAAGGTTCTAATGCTGGAGGTGATATGACACAAAGAAAGCAACCTCCATGCAAGGAGTAGTTATCAGGAGAGGTAGAAGAAAGACTTACACCTGTTACCAGACCATAAAATTTCCAGCCTGCCTGTGGCTGAGATCAAGGAGAGAGGAAGCAATTGAAAGACACCTAACCATCCAGAAAAATATAAATTGTACTCATCTTGTTGTGAAGTTACATGAATGATGGACATGTGTCAGGTAATTTTTTTCCTCTATAAGAAATGAGGCCCACCCGTCAGTGCTGTGTACCCCTGTGCCAGCCCTGGTGGACTCTGCAGAGAGGTGTCCTATCAGGCTCATGGTTCCCTTGCTTGTGTTGTCATTTCCACCAGTGCTTTCCTCCCTGTCATCTTCCCTCTGACAGTCTCAGGCTCTGACTCTGCACTTTTGACAGGCCCGGCATGGTCTCTGCCACACCAAGATCTTTACTCTCAGGATCCTGGGCCCCAGAAGGAAAAGCAGGTGCTTTCAGCTCTGCAGAGTGCGCATCCAACCCCATGATCAGAGTCGGATAATAGGTCAGTTCCTAAACTTCTCTGCAGTAAGCTGCACTCACCATCAGGCAGCCGAAGAAATCCTTGGCTATGCTGGACTATGGACATTGAAAGAGCAATCACACAGTCTGGTGGGCAGGGAAAGTGGTGCTGCCAGTGAGTGACACTGAGTGGGCCCTGGTCCCTGAAAGCCAGGGGCCATCAAGCAGGTCATGGTCTTTTCCCTTTTGCTCTGGCTATTTTTTATTTCCTCTCAATACACCATATGACTTTTGCAGGCCTTGAGTGATACCAGAAAACCTCAGTTTAAACTGGGTTTTTCTACATCCACTGAATTTACAGTTGCAGTTCCGCACAGACTGTAGAGGTAAAGAGAAGGGAGCTAGAAGCTGTAATAAGAAAATATGGTAGGGCTGCTTTGAAGAGATGTACAAGGAGTGCAGTCACTTTCCTAGGCACAATACCTGATACACGTAAAATAAGGGAGGAGATGTTTATTTTGGCATACACTTTCAAAAGTTTCAGTCCATGCTTAGCTGACTCTAATGCAGAAGTAGCCTGCTGGAAGGGCCCAGGCAGAGAAAAGCTGTCCATGTAACGGTGGCCAAAAGGCAGGAAAAGAAAGGAGGATTCTGGGAGAGAGCTATAACCTTCCTTCAAGATCATGCCTCCAGTGATCCATATCCTCTGACTACACCCCACTTCCCAACAGCAATTCAGGTTTAGCACCCACATGATCCAATCACCTTTTAAACACCTGAAGCTTTTTGGGTATGCTCCCGATGTAAAACTTAAGGAGTATCTCTATAAATTGGGAATTCAACGAATTTTGATGGAGCTCAAGGAAATAGACTGGCATTAGAAAATATACTTGCATAGAAATGCAAGGAGGTATTACTGTAACCTTTATGCTGAAAGGAATTCCTGCCTGCTGGACTCATTATTGACTGGTCCATTTCAAGGTCTCTCATTCCCTTACAATCCTGATCTGAGAGTATTTGTGGGTCACTCCCTATTCTATCAGGGCTATTTCATGGGAACACACTGGAGACTGTGGCAATCCTAAGGATTCAACCCTCTATTCCCTGCGGCTCTATCTCAAGATACAGAGTACAATGTCTTTGATTCTCTTGACAATCATTTAACAGAACTTTTTGATACCAATTCTGTGGACCCCATAGGGCTCCACCAGGACTATGATAACTCTGGGAGACAGATAAACTTTTAGGAGATTCTAGATTGCAGAGAATCCTGTCAGGATACAGCCAAGACAGAAGGAGGCAGCAGCCTGACTTCCCAGAGCAAGTGATTTGGGCTTAACCTCAGGTAGCCTCTATATATAGCCCAGCCATGGCCTATCTATGCAGCCCTGACTGAGCTTGGGCTCACCAAGCCTAGTGTCCCAACCAATGCATTTAGGAACTTTCTAGGAGGAACAATATTCTGAATCAGTTGGAGTAGTCAGCAAAGAACAGGAGACAGGGAATCAAAACCTCCACCCAATCAAAAAGGCCAGTTATTAATTCAATAGTTCCTCTTCAACTCCTGCTGCTTCAAGACTTTGGTACCAACCCATTAGATAGTAAGATGCTCTTCTGTCCTTAAGTCTCTTTATGTAATTAATTACTGGGCTGTGGGTGTTGAGAGATTTCCAGCTCCTCCCAGATCTGGATCAGGATCCAAACTCCTAGATATGATACAGACAGTATAGTGCTCTTTCTTTCCTAATTTCCTAATTGCAGAACTGCTGTTCACAACTGCTATCCCAATGTTCTCCTGTACTATTGCATTACCTTAACAAAGCCTTGGCATTAATGATGGTCAAGGTAATAGTAAAAAAGTAGCTGGGGATTTAGTTCAGTGGTTTTGCCTCCTGCCTTGCAAGTGCAAAGCCCTGAGTTCAATTCCCAGTAACCTACCCCAAAAGTAGAATGAAGAAAAATCTCAAGAGTATTGGGGGAAAGTGTTGAAATTTTACACGCACACACACACACACACACACACACACGCACACACACACACAGTGATGCAGAAAAAGGAAAACAGCCGGTGAGAAACACAGAGACAAATAGGAAGGTTGAAGCAGAAGCAAAAAATAGAAATCCAGGGGCCGGGGATTTGGCTCAGTGGTTCTGCTGCCTGCCTTACAAGTGCAAGGGCCTGAGTTCAATCCCCAGCGCCGTTAGCAAAGTGATATCACTATATATTCATTGAATAGATTCAAATTTATGACTCAAGTCCAAATCATAGTGGGGATGTGCAGCAAATGTCCCTGTCAAGGGGGATGCAAAATGTTGTGGTTATTGTGGAAGAGATTTCAGTATTAAAAGCTAAACACACAATTGTCATAAAACTCAGCAATTTCCCTTTCAAGTCTCAAGTCTCATTTCCCATGTGTCCACATAAGACATCTGAAAGTGTTCAGAGCAACTTTATTAAAAATAGCTCAGCGGTGCCAGCGCCTGCCTCACAAGTGCAAGGGCAGGAGTTCAATTCCCAGTACCCCCCCAAAAAAAAGCCAAACACAGAAGTCACTCAAATGTTTATCACCTGGGGAGTGGACATGTATGGTGTCTCCCTATATGTAATGCTGCCCCCTTTCCCCAGTAGAGGGAGATGTACAGCTTGAATCTTAAGACATATGCCAAATGATAGAGCCAGTCACAAAGGACTCCTCTTATATGACTTTGCGGAAAGAACAATTTATAGCAAGAGAAGGCAGTTAGGAAGTTGCCAGGAAGTAAGGTGGAAGGTAGTGATGACTGTTACAGGGGCATGAGAGTTTTTGCAGTGAAAAAAACTTTTTAAACACGATGTTCTGGTGGTTGGACTTCTCAGATATTTAATCACATTTAGAAAACTTTGCAGCTAAAGTGGTTGAAAATAATTGTATTAAATTATTTTACAATGAAGTTCTTAAAAATAAGATAACCACTAAAATTTAAGAAATACCAAAAGATCCTACTATGCATCCAGAGAACTGAAAACGATACAAAAGCATATTTCTAGCAAGCACTCAATAATGCTTTCAGGACACATTGGAAGTATGATCTCTCTATCCAGGGGATCCTGAAAGGAATGACCGTTCCCTCCGCTAAGGCCTCAGCCCAGCATTAATGTTATCTTTCTCTGCCCCCTGGAGTCCAGGGTGGGTAATGCAGGCATCATCATCTTTTAATCAGTACAGTATTCTTAAATTAGGAAAACTTTCTTCCTGGAAAATCCAGTGCCCTTGGAAGAAAGGGGGTCAGAGATAAGGGAAGTGAAAACATTGGGTTACCAGGGTTGGGACAAGCTTTTAAATGACCCATAAAAAATGCTCTGTGGTAACAAAAATGTAGATTGACCACAGTATGGCACCTTTGTATTAGGAAAAATAATACATGGCAGGTTTTTAATTGGAGGAGCCAAAAAAAGTTCAAGTAAAACAATGAGGTGAGAAGGAAAATTAATGCCATTATGACAAGAAGGATAAGGGATCATCAGGGAGTCAGGAAAATGCAAAGAGAATTCTTGCATGCAGGATGACACCTCCATGGATGGAAGGACTTTCGGAGACAGGTGACAGGACTTCTGCTAGATGTGTGGATCTTTTAAACCCCAAATCAATTAGGAAGAAATAGCTACAGATCAATCTCTTTGCAGATCCACAATGGTCATGCCGCAATGGCCCTCACAGTGTGTGCAGACTCAATGCAAATAATAGCAGACTTGAGCACAAAGGCCACTGAGGACTTGCATAGTTCTCCTGGGAAGCCCCCAACTGGTGAGGCAGTGTCTCTGTCCAGAATTTCAGCCTAGAGGCCTTCAGGGCACGACCCTCAGAAGGCGGGATGTTCAATTGTAGGTACTTCTCTTCATGGTCCAACGCAGGCCAGAGGGGCAGGTCCTCCCCATTGGGGTTCCTGTGGACACACCCTCCCACCAGGAGGGAGGGTAATCTGAGACCTGCACATCTCAGCCCTCAGTGCCCTGATTTTGGTCAGTCCAGGAAGCTAAGCAGGCCTAGGGACCATTGGAGGATTCCAGATAGGAAAGAAAGGACCCTCCCACTAGTGTCCCTTCATGTGAGCCTGGACCTTTTTCCTCCCTCCCTTTCAGAAGCAGGCTGTGACTGAACCACAACATGTGCCCTGCACTCCAGGTCAGTGAGAAAGTGATAAATGACTTGTACTAATAAGGCCCTTCTCTTTCTATATCCATGTGGGCCCTGGCATTGGGAGACTGTTACCATGTAATTGTTAGTACAGTGTATGCTAATGAGGTCCACAGACTAGAGGAGGGTCTGGTAGGTAGAAGTCCCTCGGGGAGGTTGAGGGTAGGGGCATCATCTCACCCATTTCTGGCAAAGTTGGCCCAATACTTCATCATCCTTATGCTCAGCAGCTTCTCCTCCTCAGTGAAATTAACTGAAGAAAGGAAGACAGAGGCCTAGGTCCTGGAGGACCCTCATCCTGCTGTCCTCCTTACACCACACTCACCACCCAGCTGCAGCTTAAATCTATGCCAAACCTGATCCCCTTTTCCCCCACACACCCTGGAGCCGGCCCCCTCCTTCCCTAAGTTTCTTTTCTCATCCCAGCCTCTAGCTGAGTAGATCCTGGAATCATTCTTATCCAGGAGTCCCCTTCTTTCTGCAGACACTGGAAAGTCATTCAAGAAACAAATATGCCTTTGAAACATCCCCACTGTGCATCCTGCTGGCCGTGGTCAGGTGGGGACAGTTGGAAGAAAGAACACAGGTTAGAGTGGAAGGATTTACATTCTAATCACGGCATAAGCTTTTCACCTGTAAGATTGTGGCTACTAATCACATTTCCTCTCTGGGCCTCAGTTTCCTCAAGTTGACAGTGAGGGCAGTCACTCCTCAGGGACCAAGCCAGAACTCTATGCCCGTGCATGGACATCAGGGAACACTCACTTGAGATGCCCTGGAAGAAAGATCTGAAGACAAAGGGAACCTCATCGCCATGGTCCGCCTTCACGTAGGGAGGCCTTATGCTTTTGAGGTAGGTGGGAGGATGTTGGAACTCGTAGAAGTAGACAGTGCCATGGGTACCTGAGGATGTAGAGAGGCTGTGACTTGGTGACTGCTCACCTGGAGCACTGCTGCTTCATCTTTAGTAACATCATACTTAAGTCAAAACTGGCTAGAATCTGGATAGTGTGTCAGGAACCTGAGGCTAGAGCAGGAGTAATGGAAAGGGCCTTGCATAAGTCATGGCCTTGAACGTCTCAGCAGAGAAGTTTGGGCAAATCACTGCACACTACTCTCCTAAATTTCCTCACCTGTACAATGTCTGTCTCTTACACTTCAGCATGGGGATTTTTCTTATTAGTGCATATTTGTTATACAGACCAGGGCTTTTCATTGTTGGTATTTTTGTACAAATACAAAGATTTCCCCCCAGTTACGACCCTTGAGCTTTCCTTCTCAGATCCCTAAATTCCTTCCTCATCTCTACTATTCCCCCTTCTATTTTCAGGTTATCTTTCTCTTTTTTCTTTCTTTATTGTATTTTTTTGTCCCCAGATTCTTCATATTGAGAGCAAACGTGCAATGCTATACTTAATTTCATCAGTCTGCTTATTAAAATGTGATGATCTCTAGTTCTCTACATTTTCATACAAATGATAGGAATTCATTCTAGGTTTAGGTTGAGTAATAGCTTATTGTGTGCATATGCCATATTTTCTTTATCCACTCATCTGTTGATGGGCACCTGGGCTATTTCCTTAGCTTACCTGTGGTGAAATTCACCTCAGTAAAAATGGATCTGTCTATAGTACATGGTGTGATCAGAAAATGCAATGAAATTTAAATTTAAGAATTTGTTACAGTAAAAAAATGCATTGTCATTAATCCCCCTAAAAAATCGATATGCTCCTCCTCGGTTCAAACATCATTCTAGGGAATGTGTCCTTTACTGTATTAATTTTTTAAAATTAAATATTCACTGTTCTTTTACTCACCCTTGTATGCTGACTTTAACTCCTTCGGGTATATACTAAGGAGTGGTACAGCTGGGTGAGTGGTAGATCTATCTCAATTTTTTGAGGAACCTACATATTGATTTGCTTAGTGCCTGTATAATTCACATTCCCACAATCAGTGAGGTGCAGAAATACTCCCTGCCCCACTGTCTTGCATCCTCCTTGGCATCTAGGCATTTCGTGGATTTGTTTGGGGTTTGTTTTGGGGTTGGTGTTGTTTAATGTCTGTTTGTTAAGTGTTTTGAGTTAGGGTTCCAGACTGCTTCCTTCTTTTCCCTGCATTGTCTTCAGTTGCTCAGTGATTGCAGTCTCTTCTGTGGGCTCCTACTTGATTCCTGAAAGTCTTTTTCTCTTTCTTTTTGCTAAGTTATTCTCTTTTAGGTATCTCATTTCCGAGTCTAGAAGAGGCTGTGATTTTTTGCCAGCTTCTATTCCTCTGAAGATTCCTCTACTCATTGGAAGTATTTTCTCCTTAACCAAAGTTACCTAGGCTTCTAAAGCCATTGCCTATTCTATTCTTCAACTCAGCACCCGACCTTGCCAAGTCTACATAAGCCAATGAAGCATGTATGTATTATGTATGTATGTATGTATGTATGTATGTATGTATGTATGTATTTAGTGGTACTGGGAATTGAACCCAGGGCCTTTGCACTGATCCACATTTTCAGGACTTTAAAATTTTTATTTTGAAACAGTCTTGTTAAGTGGCCCTCTCTGGGTTTGAACTTGCAGTCCTCCTGTTTTAGTCTCCCAGAGTACTGGGATTAAAGGCACATGCCACAGTGACTGACTGATGACACCCTTCAGACTCAAGTAAAGTGGAATCTCCACGTAGCCGTGAGTTGCACGTCCTTGACGGATAAAAAAAATCGAATGGTTTTCATATACTTATTGAACATCTGTGCTTCTTCTTTTGCTTTTGCTTTTGTTTTTCAAATTTTGCAGTAGGGTCTCTATGTAGTCAGGCTGCCCTTGAATTCACTAGGCAACCCAGCCTCCTCAGAGCTGAGGTGACAGGTGTGCGTCACCACATCCCGTTGCACTTCTTTTCAGAAGTGTCTCTCAATTAATTTTAGTTTACTTATTGGCCTGTCTGGGTTTCATTTTTGCATTTGTGTTTTTCTGTCTGTGTGTTTGTTGTTAAATGTTTTCAGTTCTCCTGATATTCTGAACATTATTACTCCACTGTTGGAAGAAGAGCCTGCGGAGCTTGTCTCCTGGGCTGTAGGCTGTCCTTCACTCTGTTGACTGTTTCCTTTACTGCGCAGAAGCCCTCGAACTGGATGTAGTCATCTTAGTCTGTTCTAGCTGAAATTTGCTGTAGTATTGGAGCCCTATTTAGGGAAACAAGGCCTGGGCCTACGACTTCTATTGTTTTCTTCTACTTTGTCCCATTTTGAGTTAATTTTTGTAGATGAGGGTTAAGAGTTTGGTCTTGATCTTTAACTTGTGGCTCTTCGGCTTTCTAAATACCATTTGTTATGGAGACTATCATTCCCTTGACTTATGATTTTGGCTCCTTTCTCAAGAATCAGATGGATGTACTTAGATGGAGTTTATTTCTGTGTCTTTTATTCTATTCTGCTGGTCTATGTTTCTGTCTTTGTCTAATACTGTGCTGTTTTGGAAACTATGGTTTCATATTAGAAAGTAGAAAAATGTGAAACTTCCAGCATTTCTGTCTTACTCATATTTCAATATGAGGATTTACTGAGATGAAGGACATCAAGTGCCTGGCACTAGTAGCTTGATAAAGACAAGGGGCCAGAGCTGAACTTGCAGATCTGAGCTGCTCCCTAGATAGTGAGGCCTCAGTTTTAAATGTACTCACGCTGACTATGTGCTACTTGCAGTGCAGGGATCACGAACATGTAGTCGCCCATCATATCCAAGAACTGAACTTTGATTGTCTGGGAGTCTTCAGTGTCTCCCATGTATTCTTCCATCACCAGATCACCAAACTTAGCAGGCAACTTCTAGCTCAGGGGGACCATGGAGAGGCAGTTTAGGTGGGCTCCAGGGTAGGGAAGACCAGGTCAAACTGGGGAGATGAGCCCTAGATTGGGACTGGGAATGTTACAAATGATCAGGCTGAGGGGTGACCCACCCACAGAGACATACTTCAGCCTTTGTCTGTGGGGATGGCTAAGGGACAGGAATCTGAGGGAGCCATGTTCATTGGATCAGGAACCCAGGAGCCTCACCACATATGCTGACAATTTCTGCAGTTCAGCCCGTATAGTCGCTCTGTCTGTGTGATTCAGATTGTCAGGGAAGCCCAGGTACTAGGTGTTAGAGAGAGGAAATTTGGAGTCATGTGTGGGACAGATCTATATCAGTGCACTCCTAAGAACCCCTGCACCCTGATTCAATGCCCCATATGACTGGGCCTCACCATGGGAAGGGTACAGCCATACTCATTATTGTTGACACCAATGATGCTAGGGACAGGTCGAAAATCAGGAGAGGCCAGTAGGTCCTCAGGGTGCTTGGGCAGGAAAGACCCGTCCACTACACCAGCAATGATCTTGAAGTTCTGAGGGGAAGTTAAAAGTCAGTGATTGAGGTCAAGTCTTACACGTTTTCTCAGGCCTAGTGAGTTGTTTCCACTCTTTTCTAACTCATGCCAGGATGCTTCTGCACAACCTGAGATAATGCCCAATGGCCTTAGTGTACCAGGCCCTCAGTCTCATCCAGAGCTGTGAGGATACCAAGACATGGAGAGGAGGTAATTAGCCCAGAGCAGTAGCGCCTGTCTCTCCCACACGTCATGAGTCCCCTTACTCCACATCTGAAAACATTCATCCTGACCTTGGTAATATCCAGCATTTCCTTTTCATTCTTGCCCCGCAGGCACCTCACCAGGGCTTCGGAGTCTACCTGCCCACAGCCAGACAGTCTGGCCACCTCCTATAAATGGAATGAAGAGAGCTGGTTCATACTCTCAGGCATGGAAAGGGGTGTGCTCAAGGAATAGGTTGAGTCCAAATGATCCCCAAATTTCCCAGGGTACTCTGTGTGGATTGGAACTGGTGTAAAATTGTTCCAAATTCCCCATTCCTCAAAGAGGTCATCCATTCTGCTGACATGGTTCTGCCTATGGTGGTTCCTAGGCTTTGATTGCCAAGGTATGTACTCAGCCTGGGAGAGGAAGAGCTGTGTGAATTCTGTTTCTTGGACCTTCAGCAGTTCGCCGGAAGCCATCTGTTTTCAAGGCACCTCAAATTCCTTTGTTGTCCCCACTGAACTAACACAAGCAGAGGCTCTGAACATGAGTGGAGAGGGAGGAGCTTGGGTTGGGGAGGTTGAGGGCACTCACTGTGCGGACAGCCTCAGACGAAGTGGAGATGAGGCCAGGCAGAACAGCCACCCCACTCTCCATGATGGCACCATGGAAGAGTCCTTGAGACATGGGGGACAAGACATGTGAGGACACACTTGTTCCACCAGCAGACTCTCCAAAAATGGTGACCCGGTCGGGGTTGCCTCCAAAGTTGGTAATACTCTCATGCACCCAGCGTAGGGCAGCCACTTGGTCCAGGTAGCCCCAGTTGCCAGGGGCATGCTGGTCTCCAGTGCTGGAGGTGGCAGGCAAAGAGGTTATGGGCTGGTCCAGGGTATACTCCAACCCTGGGTATTTCCTACCTCAGCCGCAGACTCACCTAAAGAAGCCCAGGACACTCACGCGATACTGAATAATGACCACCACCACATTCTCAGAGGCTGCCAGAATGGATCCATCATACAGAGAGGCCATACCTCCAACTAGTGCACCACCATGGATCCATACCATCACCTGGGGAAATCAAGACAGATGCTGCATGGCTCTCACCCAGCTCACACCTTCCTGAGTTATATGTAGATTATCCATTGCTTTGACTCTGTGTAGCTACTCACATAGGCAGAAGTTCGAGTGGGACCTCACTATCTGGGCCAAGGGTGATGGTCCCAATTTCAATTAACTAGATCAGGACTCTTAGATTTTACCATTTACCCTATGGATGCAAGACTGGCTCCATTACTCTCAGATCCTTTCCAATCAGAATGAACCGGGCTTTCCTTGACTGTCCCACCTGAATGTCAATGAAAAGTGTTAGCTAATCTCACTGACCCAATATATAAACCACGACTGAAATCTTTGGTGATGTCAAACTACACTTCCTGGGCACGGAAGGCATTCTCTTGGCACTAAATTCTAATCTCTATCTAGGGTCCCATTACTCCTAGGGTCAGTTACCCACATGGTAATCCCATAGGTAGAGGCTTCTCAGCAGGGTCTACGTTGTAGCAAGACCCAAGCTGTTCCTTTTAATCTTTTTCTCCTTCTGGTGTGTGTGTGTGTGTGTGTGTGTGTGTTGCTCAGTGTTTTACTTGGAGTACTGCACTTAGTAGTCAAGTGATGTGCCATTGACCCATATCCCCAGCCCAATTCTAATTTTGAAGAAGAAATATCTTCTCATTTCCCAGCTGATCATAGTTTGACACTCACAGGCAATTTAGAGTCCTTGTGGGCATGGGCTGGAGTATAGATGTTCAAGTACAAGCAGTCCTCAGACATGAGAATGGAAGGCACAGTTGCAACTAGCAGCGTCGAAACTTGTGCATCAGTTGCATTAGAACCTTGCAGACACCTGAAGAAATTGGCAATTAGTCTTGGAGTTGTGCAGTGGTCAAAGCCAGACTCTGGGTCCAGACTTGCTTCCAGCCCTCAGTGTCCTGCACCCATAATCCCTTATACACACAAGATCTCTCTCTAAACTCTTTGACAATCAAGGCCCAAACCAGAGGTTCAGAAGAACCTGGCATGGAGCTCAGACTTCCAGGGAAACCTCAGGTTTGATTGGGCCTTGGATCCCACTCATCCTGAGGCTGGAAAATCATGACTACTTGGTTTCTTTATGGGAACCATTGGCTGTAGGTGTTGACATTCACCTTTTATCTCTATAACCACCTGTTTCTGGAACAGGGAAGGATCCCCAAACAGATGTTGCAAGTGAGCACAGAGGTTTGTTTTCTAAAGAAGTGTAGTGGCTATACTTCATCCCAAGACTCAACTGCTAGGGAAACTCATCCCACCCATAGATCTCAGTTTGAAACATTGTAGACTTGTTGCGTGACCAGTGGAACTTGGCCCAGTCAACATTTACAGAGAGTGTACAGGGTAGTGTTTCCCAGGAGTCACTACTGACGCCTTCCTCAGGCATCTACCATGTCTGCTGCTTAGTTAGAGTTTCTCAAAAGTTGATAGAGCTAACCTGAACCTGTCCCAGAATCACTTCTGGTGGAACAGAACCATAGGCATAATGCAAATTATGGAAGAAATGTATCTCTGCTCCTTTTTTCTGGAAATGGAGCTACTACCTTTAGGCTTCCAGGCCCACTACCAAGACCTGTCAATGTTTCTCCACCCTCTGCAGCCTCACCCATTCATTGTAGAAATCCAGCAAAGCAGAAAAAAATTGCTATGGGATTTGGAATCACTTCAAACTCGCCAGAACTCAGAGCAGCTGAACCCTCCCTGTGTAGACAATTACCTCAGCTCCCCCGAGTGCTTACATGGCAGGCAGAGCGGTTCCATTTCTCACACCAGTCCAGGGCTCAGGTGCTTCAGGTGGCGAAAACCTCAGTGGTCCTACAGGTGGCTTTGCAAAGGGAATGCCCAGGAAGGTGTGGACCCCCATGTCAGTGCCATTCACGTGAACAAGGCTGCCCCGCACCTGCCCCGTGGGTGTGTCCCGGATGGGGCTGGCAGAGTCTTGAGCTGAAGATAGAAAGATTTGCATCAGTATTGGGTCTGCCACTGCAGCTCCGTCCTACATTGTGCTTTTGCTACCTCCTTGCCATCCTCACCTCAGCAATGTGAAGGGAACCTGCTCCATAATCACTGTCCTCATTTGTGTCCTGAACTAAGACAAACAGTACTGACGCTAGTCCTGGCCCCAGCATATCCCACGAAGCCCACTCAGGCTTCTTCAGGCTCACAACCAGCGCTTAGCATTACAACTGTCCAGCAAAGTGTTTCACATGCTAATTTGGTGAAAGTGGAATTTGCACTAACCCTGCCATATCTGTGAAGCAATGGGAGGGCTGGAAATTGACTGAAAAGTCTCCCATCCTCAGGGATCTCACACTCAAGGTGGAATGATATAAAGAAAGCATTCTGCCTGCAGGGAGTGGTACAGTGAGGAGCACTAGGATAGAAATGCAAAGCTGTCACTGACCATATAATGCCTCACCTGCTTCTGGGTGAAAGGGAAGAAGCAGTTGATTTTCATAGAAATGTTGAGATAAAACCCAGTTGTCCAAGTCCTGATAGCTGTTGATGCGTGATGGGCACATAGTGCTTGTCCACTCTTCTCTACTTCAGATCAATGCTGTGCATCCCTGCCTCAGTCCTGTTTCTCCCCGGGACTCAGGGTGCAGGGAGATGTCCAGTTAGGCCCACAGTTCCCCTGCTGTTGCCATCTCTAACAGATGACATCTCCTGGGCAGCAGCCTAGGCTGTCACAATTTTTTTCTCTGTAGAATGTGGCAGATCTGGGCTAAATTCAATATAAAAAAGTTAAATACCCCAAAACTTCATGGGGCATTAATGCTCCCTTCCCCATCAGATCTGTGTGGATAAACATCTAGTTTGCTAAGAAGGCTAAGGCACCCTACAGGGCAGTTTAACATCTTTCCATGTAGAAGATGCACTTTTCTCCCTAGTACACATGATACCTTGCCAGCTGGCATTGTTGTGGAAGGAATAAATAAATGACACACAGAGAGACAGCAAAATGGAATTAAAATAACAAATCTACTTGTTAATAAGGGTCAATCACAAATAAGCCATACCCAGACCAACGATGTACTGGGTTACAACTCCTCCTTTTATAGGGTTTCACAGCCTTGACTTCATTTGGGTGGTTACATTTAATTCTCACCGTTTAAATCACGGTCACAAAATAGTTAATCTTTTCAATCCAGATGTAACAGTTCTTTGCAGTTGGGGAGTTTACCTTTAAGATTTGCCTAGTTATCTATTCTAGTCCATAGGAAGGGGGTGTTCAGGGTCATGGGAGCGAATGTTGGCAGTGGTCCTTTTTATATTGACACTTTTATGATCAGGTGGCTTCAGTCTTTCCAGAGTTCAAGACCTTGATGTGCCCTGTTATCTCAGGGTAAGACAAAATGCCTATCCAGTAATTAGTGCCTCCAGTGTCTTGTTAGTTCTGAGCTAAACAGACTACAATTAGACACAACAGAAGCTATTCTATATTATGACACTGCATAGGTTTTAGTTATTTATAAAAGTGTTCTCTCTCAGCATCTCTGTCCACGTAATGCACTGTGGCCACCACACACTGATGCCTGATGCTTGTTACAGCACAGGACAGAGCCTGCTGCCATGTGCCTGTTGGGGGATAGGATATATCCATGGTGCTGTATCCTTGAAGAGGAAGCCTTCCATACAGTGGTGTGAGATTTTACCTATTTTAGGAGGGGGAAAGCTCAGAACCAGAAAGGCCTAGATTTGTGACCATTTCAGTGAAAACCAAGGCCTATGTTCTCAGGCATCATCCTGGAATGAACATGGAAGCTACGGTGTCCTTGATGGTTCTTGTGAGAACCTAAGTTTAAATGAGACAGAAAAGAGTGGGCCCCATCCCTGTGCCCTCTTAAGGCTCCTCAACCACAGTGAATGAGCATAAATCCTAGCCAAAGACTTTAGGAAAGAGGCATAGATTAGGTTGGGCAGTTCTTCTGGTCTGGAAATTCTTTTGCCCTGGAAATGTATGGTTAATAATACATAAAGGAAGACCCTGGGCAGGGTGGGCTATAGCAGTGAGGTAGTGAGGATTCCTCCAAGCCAGAATGCTTTGGGAAAGGGTCGATATCAGATCTCACACCCAGAACATTTCCTTCAGAAGATCAAAGGCTGCAAACACACCCAGCAAGTAGAGCCCATTGGCCATCAGCTCCTGATAAGGAGCCTAAGATTACCTGACTATGATAGAGTACATCACCTTTGCCCTGAAAACCAATCATTGCCTTTGCCCAAGGTTAGGGGCTTGGGGAGTTCAGACCCAGTAACCTCTCAGTTCAGCTTTGGGAGGCAGAGCCCAGGGACTTCTCTGTCCCTGAAGACCAGGTACCTTTCCTTTGGAGAGTGCTAGGGTACTTTCCTGGCTAAGAGAATGTCACAGTCAGAGGCAAAGAGCAGCAGGAAGTTATTACTATCATTACTGTTACACTTAAGGGCCAAGAGCGGCTATAGACACAGCCAAACATACAAGAAGGAAATGTGTTAAATCCCAGCTCTTCTGCCAGACATCAGACCTACCTGTCCTGTGTTCTTTAGCAATATTCATACTGGACTCTTCCTTGGAGTTCAATTTCTTCACACAACCCTGATTCTGTTAGTGCTTCTGAGGCCCATCTTGGAGGCTTCAATTAGGGCATTTTTATGGGCACACAGTTCCCATACTATCAACTAACATCTCCCCCATCTCCTCCCTCCCTGACACTTCTCTCTACCTCACTTCCTCCCCGCCTTCAGTTTCTGGCTCTGGCTCTGCATACTTTGCCAAATGTGACCCCAGTACCTGTCATCTTCTGCAAGATTCTCACCTTGGCCTGGAACTAGTATAAGTAGGAGCCCACAGGCCACAGTGCTCAGCAGGGTAGGAAGTCTGTCCAGTTGCATGGTCAATTTGCCTGCCCGTCCTGTGCTGCTGGTAATGTGTTCTGTTTCACCCACAGACAGCCTCACTGAAGTGTGGCCCGGGTTGGAGTTCGAACCCATCAGGGAAGAGGTGGGGCACTGGGTGGCCAGAAAAGGTGGGTGCTGCTACAGAGTGGCACTGATTGGGCAGAGGTCACAGGGAGCCAGTGGCCAGTGTGCCGCACTTGGTTGCCTCTCTTCCTCCTTTGCCTTTTTCATTCGTCATCTTTTAAAGGTGCTTTTGAGACAAACCTGGGGGTCACTGAGTCCACTTCTTTGCAGTCACTGGTATGAGTGGAGCAGTCACCTGGAGGGAGCAAGAAGCTTTAACTGAAGAGCGTGGGAGCACTTCTCTAGGGTTTCCTCTGAGGACCCCCAGAATGGGGGTGGGAGCTACCTTTGATGGAGCAGAAGGAATGGAGCAGAAGTTTGAGCAGGGAAGAGAGGCAAGACCGTGACCTTCATCCCGAGGGCTCCTCTTTGCCTCCTGGACCCATAGTTGGCTGGGTTTTCTTCAAGGTTCCTCATGCCCTTATAGTCCTTGTTGAGGATCTCTAACAGACACTCCCTCCCTATTTCTGCTATGATTGCTTGGATGCAAACACACCGGAGACTCTGGCAGTACCTCATTTCCCCTGTGGTGCTGGAAATTGAATACAGAGCCAAGACACTGAGCTAAATCCTTTGTGTCTTTGTATTATTTATTGTGATACAGGGTTTCTCTAAAGTGCCAAGTTGCCAAGGTTGAGTTTAAACTTGTGATCCTCCTGCCTCAGCCCCTTAGAGTGCTGGGATTACAGGTGTGTGCAGTCACACCCAGTTCTAGCACTTATCACAGATCTACCCTCTGTACTCATTTGTCCCTACCCTGTACCTTCTCTGCCAATGAGCCATTTCTGCAAAAATGGAGTTTACAGTCATATATCCACTTGAGAAACACATAACTGAACCCATTGATTTCAAAGTTGGGGACCTAGCTGGGATTTCCTGGGCCTATGGTACCTCTATGGAGATAAGTCTGTAAATGGAAGATTCCGAACCATGGAAAATACTTGCAAGACACGGTGAGGAGAGCAACTGCCAGGAATAGAAATACTGTGGTTGTTGCCAACTCTTTGCCATCCTCATGTTGGCACTGTCAAGGGACCCTGATCTGCAAATGCTGGTTTCACACACTTCCTGGCTTTCCCTTTTCTCATCACTGGTCCTCTCCCCAACTTATGCCAACAGGCCTACTGAGGCTCTTTGATACTTGGCACCATCATTCAAGCCTAGGAGCACCCAGCAAAGGGTCCTGTGCACTGAGGCAGGAGAGGGTTCTTTGCGCTGTTCCTGCCAGGTCTTATGAAACACGGGGAGTAATGTGGGAATTAATGGAAAAGTCTCACATCCTCACAAAATCTCGCATCCAAGGTGGCATGGCATAAAGAAAGAGTCCTCCATGCAAGGAGTGGTGTTGTGAGGAGAGTGAGGAGACAGACATATAGCTGTGACCAGACTAAAATACCCAGCATACCTGTGACTGGGCTCAGGAAGGAAGGCAGCAATTGAAAGACACCTAACCATCCAAATAAAAGCAGGTTGCCCAAGCTGAAAGTAGATGACAGGCACATTGAATCTGTTAATTCTTTTCTCTAACCCAGACCAGGCCCATCCCTGCATGCTGTGTGCCCTTCAGTCAGCCCTTATCCTCTCTGTGCAGGGAACTGTCAATCAGGTTCATGCTTCTCTTGTCACCTCCACCAGCTCTTCCCTCCCATCATTTTCCCTCTGGTAATCCCAGGCTCTGCCTCTGCACAATGTGGCAGGCCCAGGCATAGTCCCTGTTACACCCACAGGAGCCTACCAGGAAGGCAAGTAAATGCCCTCAGATCCACAGAGTATACATCCCGCCCGTGGTCATGATCAGCTTGCAGGCCAGTTTCTGCATTGCTGCTTAGTAAGCTACATCCACTGGCAGAAGCCAAATAAGGCCTTGCCAAGCTGGAGGTTGGACCCGGCAGGGAGTAAGCAGGGTGTTGGTTGGGCAGGGCAGAAGGGTGTTGCCAGGGAGTGACAGTGAGTGGGCTGAGGTCTCTAGGAGCCGGTGGCCAGCAAGGTAGTTCATAGTCACTTCCCCTCTGCTCTGGCTCTCTCTGGCTTCCTTCCAACACACCATTTTGCTTGTGCAGCCCATAGGTGATGCCAGGAACTCTCCCCTCAAATGTGAAGTCACTGTGTCCCCTAACTTTGCAGTCTCAGGTCCAAGAAGTGTGTTACCAGTGAAGAGAAGGGAGCAAGAAACTGTAATTGGAGAATTTGGGAAGGCTGCTCTGGGAAGGTGTAAAAGGAATGTTTTAGTCTTTTCCTTGGCCACAATAACTGACACCCACAACTTAAAGGAGATGTTTATTTTGGCTCAAACTTTCAGAAGTTTCAGTCCATGCTCAGATGGCTCCAATGCAGAAACGGCATGATGGAAGGGCCTAGATGGAGAAAATCTGATCAGAAGTAGAGAAGGGAGGAGCCTGAGAGGAGATAAACCCTTCCAGGCCATGGCACCAGTGACCCAGTTCCTCTGACCACACCACACTTCCCCACAGCAAGTCAGCTGTGGCACCTCCATGATGAAATCACCTTTGCAACACATGAGGTTTCTTGGGGACACCTCAGATCTAAAACATAGTGCAGAGGATCCCCACAGAGAATGGGCCTGAACTTTAGTGGAGCTGAAACACCTTGAGCAAAGGCAGGCAGTCTGACTGTACCCTTCATCCTGAAAGTTCTTCCTTGCCTGCTAGACTCATAGTTGATCAGGTCTTCTTTTTTGACACCCTTATGGATTTGAGTTTGCAATGAAATTACCTATATATGCCTTTAATTTATTGAACTTGTTAACATATCAGTATTTAAGCATACATTGGGGTATTCGTGGCAAAAGAGAGTGTCTCAGAATATGGGAAAAGGGATGCAACATATTAACAAGAGAAGGGAAGTATTTTGGGGCAACAGAGGAGCCATTTGAATATAATTTGGCACACTGGTACAGTGAGACAAAAATGCATGACAGATTTCTATTGAAGAAGCCAAAAAAAAAAAATAGTTCAGAGGAAAAACCACAAATTTTTCCAAATTTTTAACTTAGTTTTCAAACTTCAGCCAATTAATATTTGACATCTGAATTACATGTGCATATGAAATAGACATATCATTCAACTGCCCATAAGATAAACTGCACACAAGTGTTGTTCTCTTTTGATAGAATTAAACTTTTAGAGGAAAGTGGTTCAAGTAAGAGCAAATTAGCAGACCTCCTCATGAAATAAACTAGACAAGAACCAAGAAGTTTGAAAAGTGCTAAAGATAAATTTCACCAATCTCTTTCTTATCTGAAACATAGGAAATGTGATCAAAATATGTAGTGAATGTTCAAAATTTTTAAAAATTATTATAGTAAAAGACAAATTGCCGTCACCTGATCCCCCGCCGAAAGATCCCCCTCACTAGGAGCATACCCATCTCATCACCCCTACCACTCCTGGAGCAGCCATAGAGGTCTCCCCTCTTTGTGTCCTTACAAGCTGTGAGCAATAGTATGGTTGCTACCGACCGTAGGGCAGCAAACACGGGATTTCACGAGGAGATACAGGTTCTCTAAAAGGTGGGAGCAGGTTCGGCGATGACAGTCAGACAAAAGCACTCAACACCGAGGTGAAGTTTGCAAATGCTGCTGCAATTTTACTTCTAACTCTAGGTGTTTATATACTAGTTTCAAGGGCACACTTCAAGAGTGATTCCAGTCACAGGCAGGCATGAGAAAGATAGACAATAGTACTGTAAAAACTAAGACCACAAGGTCAAGGTAAGACCACACCTATACGCAGTCAGAAGGGGAAGTTTGTAAAACAAAGGACTGGCTTCAGCATGTCACCTTCAGGATCACCTTCAGGACTTCACAGTCCGGGGCTCAGGGTCAGCACTTTGGCCGCCCATCCTCTTGTGCCCCAACACCTCCCCCTCTCTAGGAACATCTAATTGTTCCTAACCTTTCCTGGGCCCAGAATACAATTCTACAGATAATGAACAAATAGTAATAAAGACAAAATAGAACAGAATTATAAATGAACCCAATGTCCCCAAACTGCAGGCAGAGAGGCCAGCTATTCTCTCCACGGCTGACTTCGCATGCGGTGTGTGCCAAGGACTTCCAGGAGGCTTAACCCCGTGGGGACGATACCTCGGGTCTGGTTTCTGCCAGGTGGTCGGCATTGTCACGCAGACTCCACTGGAGTGGTCGTGGCATATGGTGAATGCTGCTGCCAAGGCCACTCAACAAAAAGACAGACTTGTAAAAATATGGCAGCATGTCCTCGTCCACTTCATTCGTCAGATCTGGAGCCATGCAACTTGTATTCCTTCCTCAAAGTCAAAATGACTATGAAAGGTAAAGGTTCAGTATTGATTCAGGACATGGAGGCAGTTGAGACATTGCAACTAAAGACACTCAGGAAAGAGGACTCCGGAAATGCTCCAGAAATTGGTAAGAATGATTGGACCAGTGTTCCTGGAAGCAAGGGTGGGAATTCTGACGGGACTCATGGCCATGTGGGTCCCACTGTAAGCTGTTTTTCTACATTTAAACACTCACCTTATCCATACAATGCACACATACAAATGTGTATGATGAGTGTACATGAGCTAAACACTGTTAATGTCAGTAGAGAGTTGCTGTGGATGGGGCTACTGTGACTCATTTACAGACTTGGGAAAAGAGAAGTATACAAGCTAGCAGAGGGTGCTGGCCATGTGCTCACTCAAGTTACAGCAGACCACACAAGTCTTGCTATGCTCAGAGGCTGATGTGGGCCTTTGAGTCCTTTTCACTTCATTGTGCTATTTTGCTGTTCTATCTGCTTGTTTCATTATTTTGTAAATAGGGAAGATTGGGAGGTTCAACTAGTCTAGGAACAACTAATGTACCCCATAAATGCCAAATCAAATATTTTTATTTGTTCTGCAAATGCAACAGATTTGTGCCTATAAATTTTTTTGTGTGTTTGCTTTTTTTTTTTTTTTGAGACAGGGGCTTCCTATTTGTGCAGCCTGTGCTTGAACTCACTATGAAGCCCAAATATGCTTCAGATCTGCACCGTTCTTCTTGCCTCAGCCTCCCAAGAGCTGGAATTACAGGTGTGTGCCACCACACCCAGCTACAATTATTTTTAAGATAAGCAAGAGCAAGTCAGCTGGAGAAATACATGGGGCCTGGAGCTTGAGCACACTACCAAGAAGGCAGTGGGGAAGGCCAAACCAGCCTTAGGGGGCCATCTCCAGGAATCTGCAATCCAAGACACACTATCAGCCTCACTGTTGGAGTCATTTCCATAATAAGAATCTTTGATGATGAGTTACTTTTGTGAGTCATAGCTCCCAAGTAGTTCAATTTTAGCTTTGCAATTCTTATCTTCATAATTTCATCTATTCAAATCTCTCAGATTGCTTTTGACCACATCAGTATGTAGTCAAAACTTGTGAAATCCTCTTCGGTAACCTGCTGGGCAATGAGATAAATGGGGATGGCATGCTTCTTCATGCAATACTGTTCTTCAAAGTCAGGGGATTTTCCACTTTGTATGTGGACATGGCTGCATTGTCTATTCTCCATTGTCAGAAAGGTTTCATCAGTTGAAAGATTTCTGAAAATTGCTTTTGCTGTGGGTGCTCAGCATTACCCAGAAACTCAAACAGAACAGCACTGACTTGAGCCCAGGGCTGGCCATCTTTCCATGCTATCACTGCACCCAGCAACCTCCACTCTAAGATGTATCCAAAGACATGACTGAAGTGTTTGGAGCAGATTTACTAAAAATAGCAAAACACAGAAGTCACTCCTGTGTGCATCACCCAGGGAGTAGATGGATATGTGTGGTGTCCCCCTCTGTGGAATGCCGCCCCACAATGGAAGGAAAGAAGTATCACTTGAATCTCAAAAAACATGCTAAGTGGCAGAGTAGTCACAAAATACTTCTTTCATGTATTACAGAAAGAGAAAAGTGGAGCAAGAGAAAGGAGGTTGCCAGGGTGTGGGGAGGAAAGCAGTCATTAGTGTCGAGGGGCATGAGGAGAGCTTTTGCAGTGAAAAAAAATTTGAACATAATGAACTAGTGGCTGCATGTCTCCATATTTATTACATTTACCAAACTATGCAAGTAAAATGGGTAAACTTAATTCTATATAAATTATTTCACAATAAAGCTCTTGAAAAAAGGTAACTACTGAGATCTAAGAAATACCCAGGAAACCCACTTTTGGGGTGACCTGTGCACCTACAGAACTGCATACAGAGGCATGTTTATCACAGAAGTTCAATAAGGCTTTTGGATACAATAGAAGTATTAGCATCTGTTCCAGTAAGGGGGCACTGAAAGGAAGGTCTCTAAACTCCTCCAAGGGTCTCAACCCAGGCTTAATGTTCTCTTTGTCTGCCACCTGGAGTCCAGGGTGAATAATGTGAGCATCTTCACTCATCTTTTAATTCCAATTTGATACACTATATTGAAACTTAAATGCAATGGATGAAAGGGGAAGGAGGACTTTATCCCTGGGAAACTGCTGTCCCAGGATGGCAAGTTGCCCAAAGACAGTGGTTTTTGGGAGAGAAGAGAGCGTCTCAGAATATAGGGTAAGGGATGCAACATTTTAACAACAGAATGAAAGCGTTTTGGGACAACAAATAAGCAGTTTGAACACAATATGGCACATTTGTACCGTAAGAAAAAAAATACATGACAAGTTTTTATTGTAGAAGCCAAAAAATAGTTCAAGGGAAAAAATCTGATGAAAAGAAAATTGGTCACATGGAGAACCAAAAACCCAGGAGACAGGTAATAAGGAGGATGGAAGTAGAAGTGTCAAAGATAGAGTCAGGGCAGTGGAATCTTTTCACTATACATGTGTGAACCTTCCAATACCAATTCTAAAGCATGTCTTACAGAACCTTTTTGCAGGCCCACAATGATCATATAAGTTTGTCCTTATCATTGTATGCAGATGCCATGAAAATGACAGTAGACATCAGGAGATGGTCCACAGATGACCCAACATGGCTCTCCTAAATCACACATAACTGGCCCAAGCTCCAAGGGCAGGTCGACATGACCAGTCCTCTCACAAAAATAGAGACTGTGACCTCTCTGGATAGAAATAGATGAGTGGGTGAGTTGTTTGAAAAGTTAGTGATAGATGACATTTAATATAGGTAGATAATAGGTAGAGACATTTTCAGTAGTTGGCAACCTTGGTGGCTGCTATGGGGAGCTCTAGGAGGTATGCTCTTTTATCCTTGTGCCCCACAATTCAGAAGTTGAAACCTAATCTTTATTTGATGCGCAAAGAGTTGGAATCCTTAAGAGCCGATAAGGTCATGAGGGGTACTTTTTCCTCTTCTACCAAGTGTGTCAACTAGGAGAAGATGCCATCTATGAGCCAGAGAACAAGCACTCACTGCACATCAAGTCTGCCAGCACACTGGCGCTGGTCTTCTTAGTCTCCTGATCTATAAATAAATTTCTGTTGTTTATAAGCTATCCAGCTTATGATACTGTTTTACAGCAGCCTGAACATGCAAAGAGCCTAGGTTCATGTAATGTGGGTTTTGGTTGGCCTATATAAATATGAGCACAGATGGAATCATTGAGAGGTTAAAAGAATTTTAACACTCAGGTGTGGGTAACATTCTCCAAGGCATCATTTTCATTTCGGGCAAGAGTGGAGGCATGAAGATACAGTTGGGAAAGAAAAAGGGATCTAGATCCAGGGTGGTGGTGAGCAAGGTGGGTGTCCAATGGGACTTACCAATCCACAGCTCCCTGGGTGTCTTACTTACTTTTCTTGTTGCTGGTAAAACATATGTGACACCCAAAGTTAAAGGAGGAAAGGTTATTTAGGCTCACAGTTTGTGGAGGATTTGGATGGCTAGCTGTAAAGCAAGGTAGAATGACTAAAGGGAATCGCAGAGGAGGAAACAGTTCATGGCAAGCAGAAGGCAAAAAAGCAGCAAGCACAGAAGCAACAACTGACAAGTGAAAGCAACAAGCCTTTTTTCCGTCCCTTACATCCTATCTAGGTTACATAGTCTTAAGTTGAGTAGCAGTCAACCTCAGAGCAGAATGTGTCACCCTGAATCCTAGCATTTCATCCTGAATCAAACCCATCATCGCATACTTGATCACAGCATCACAGACTTTACATCCAGTCACCTCTGGAAAGCCCCACCTATGACCACAGGAGGCTTGGGAGAGATATCAAGATACAAGTAATAACACTGGGGAATGTAATGAGTGTCTAACAAGAGGGGACACAAGGCAGGCTTGGCAATGGAAATTATGAATGGATTCTTCATTAGTGAGGGCCAAATGAATAGATGAAGAATGGATGCATGGCTCTGTGGGTGTGGGTCACAACAAGCAGACCCCACCTGCACTCACACCCAGCCTCCCTCATCCAAATAGACAACTACAACTCTGTATGCTTTTCCTCAGCACCCTTTAGCTCCTGGATCTTCTGAGGTAGCTTCTCTGTCCAGAACTTCAGCCTGGGGGCTTTTAAGGCACGGCCCACAGTAGGCTCGATGTCCAGTTGCAGGTACAGCTCCTCATGGTCCAATGCAGGCCAGTGGGGCAGGCCTTGGCCATTGGGGTTCCTGTGAAGATACCCTCCCAACAGGGGGTGAGAGGTCAGTCTGAGCCCTGTTGAATCTCAGCTCAAGTGCCTTACATCAGGACCTACAGCTAAGGTGGAACATATTGAAATAAGGAGAACTTCTAATACAGAGAACAGAGCCATCCCACTAGGGTCCCATCCATGTGAGACAGGGTTCCAACACCTGTTCTTTCTCTCCCTCTTAGAGGCAGGCTGTGACCGAACCACAGCACTATTGCCCACCATACAGGTCATTGGGAGGGGACGAGTGACCTGTACTGGCAGGGCCCCTCTCTGTGTCTACACAATTCTTAATCATGCAATGGAATTCACATGTAATTTAAAGATGCACATGTGCTAACAAAGCCCCCACAGACAAGAGATGCACCTGATGGGTTTACATACGCTGTGAAAATTGAGGTAGGGAAGCATCATCTCACCCATTTCGTGCAAAATTGGCCCAATATTTCATCATCCTTCTGTTTAGTAGCTCCTCCTCCTCAGTGAAATGAACTGCAGAGAGAAGGAGGACAAAGACCCAAGTCTTACACTGAAGGCTCATTCCACTTATTCTGCTGCCCATTCATGTAAAAGTCTCACCAGTCAGCTGCAGCCTGATCCTGAATGCCAGGTCTGATTTCCTCCTTTCCCACTTTCCCAAGAGTCAGGCCCTCCCCTTTCCCAGCCTTTCTCATTTCAGTAACGAGTTGAATTGACCCTGGGTTCAGTGCTGGCCCAGAAGTTCCCTTCATCTATGTAGCAGATGCCCGGTACTCAGAGACTATAAATGGCACATGTTTCTTGCTTTCCCTAATGGAGCTATATGTTTTATACCAGGAGTCAAATGGAAAATCCTATGTGGCTCAAATGGACATGTCAGGCGACGGACTTGTGAGTGCAGCCCCTCCCCCATTGGTTGCCCCTGAGGCCCAAGCCCTGGTCTGTGAAGTGGCAGGGCTCTGCTGAGTTACATGCACCTCAGCTCAGTGTGACCCCAATTAAAATCCTTTCCCTAAATTCTGGCTTCTCACTGACCCAATGGCTTGCTAATTCTACCAGGTGCCAGTACTTGTTCTATCCAAGAAAGATAAGCAGTGCTTCCTCCTTTACAGCCCTGCCTCTTCCATCAGGCCAGGTGTTTGGCAGTATTTCACTAAATTCCCTCAATGCATACCTTGCTCCCTGTTCCTTCCCATGCTTGTGTTTAATACATACTGAATGTGCTTGAAGGCCTTTCTCTTTGTTGCCTAGAGAAGCACTGATTGGTACCAAGACCCAACTTTTTCTCTAAGCCTCATTTCCCATCTTTATTCTTCAATTAGCTTTGTGTCATCATGGATCTCAGGAGACCAGGACCCACTGCAGGGTTCTATGGTGACATCCTCTTTCCTAATCCCTATACATCTCACTCGGGTAATTCATTAAAGAAACAAATATGCCTTTGAGATAATACCTCCTACCCCCTTTCACCCATGCTGAACAGCGTGTTCAGGATGAGAGCACTGGGTGGAGTGCAAGGGCTTGCATTCTAATCCTAGCACAGCCTTTTGGAGTATTAAATACTGGACACTGTTTCTGTCCTTTCTCTGGGTCTCAATTTCTCCTCTGGACTGTGGATGAAGTCACAACTCAGAGACTTGGCCACAGCCCCATCCTTGCTCCTAGATGTGGAGGAGACGTACCTTGGTTGTCCCACGAGAAATATCCAAAGACAAAGGAAATCTCATCACCATGGTCAGCTTTTATGTAAGGTGGCCTGATGTTTTTGAGGAAGCTGGGCGGATGCTGGAATTCATAGAAGTAGACAGTGCCATGGGAACCTGGGGATGTGGACAGCTGTGACTTGGTGACCCCTTACCTGGAGCTCTCCTGCCTCAGCCTTGGGGACAAAGCATCTAAGTCCAAAGTTGGCTGGAATCTGAACAGTGTGGTGAGGAGCCCCAGGCTACAGCAGGAACAATGGGAAAGGCCTTGGATAAGTTATGACCTAGGGTTTCCCAGTTGTGTAGTTTGGGTTACTCTGAGGGTCACTCTTCTCAATTTCTCCACTTGCAAAATGAAAGATATCTGTATCTTACATCAGGCAGGAAAACAATTTAGACAAATTTGTGCATGCATATAACATTGTGATCATTCTCCCCACATTTCCACCTTTTTTTCTTTCTTCCTGTTCCCCTGATTGCCTTCCTCTTCTTTACTATTTGTCTTCTTTCTTTCGTGTCATTTCTCCTTTTCCTTCATATTTCCCCTATGTAGGAAACATGTGATATGTGACATTCTGTGCATGGATCTTTTCACTGAACATAATGATCTTCAGTCCCATTCATTTTCTTTCAAATGATGTGAGCTCATTCTAATTTACGGCTAAGTAATATTCTATTGTATATACACTTTCTTTATTCATTCATCCATTGATGGGCACATAGGCTATATCACAACAGCTTAGCTATTATGAATTATACTATAATAAATATGGCTAAGCTGCTATATCTGTAGTATACTGACTTTAATTCTTTCAGAATATACTGGGAGTTGTATACTTTCAAATACCAGTTGGATCAAATGGTAGCTCTAGTTTTGGTGTTTGGAGGAACCACTATAATGCTTTCCATAATGGCTACACTAATTTTATTTCCATCAATAGTGAAGAATGCTTCCTATGTCACTATATCCTTAATTTTCAGCATCCTTTATTGGATTTTGTGTTCTTAGGGATGGGCACAGTATTCTTTTATTTTTTTTAATATTTCGAATTGACCCGAGGGCCTTCACTGAGCTGCAGTCCCAGACTTTTTTCATTTTTTATTTGAACTATGATCTCATTAATTCACCCAGTTGCCCAAATTGGGTTAAAATTCACAATTCTCCTGCTTCATCTTCCCAAAGTACTGGAATTAAAAGACAGAAGGATCTAGTATCAGCCTCTTACACAAGTATATCCTGTTTGCCCATCATCATTGGCTAAACATATTTTTTTGCTCCTTTCCAAAGAATCACATTGATGTAGTTGTTTATGTTTGTTATAATATTGCCTACTATATTCCATTGGGCTACAGATCTATGTTCCATTTCTATCACGCTGTTTTTGTCACTGAGATTTTGTAGTATATTTTGATGTCAAGAAATATAACCCTTCAGAATTACACTTTTTCTTGAGATTTAACCATGAAGACTTGCTGAGATGAAGGACATCAGGTGCTTGAAACCAGAGCCTCAGTAAAGATATAGGACCAGACCTGGGCTCTACAGACTTCAAATGAGACTCAGGTCCGAGCTACTGCTTAGGACGTCAGACCTCAGTTACAGATGTACTCACGGTGAAAATGTGCTACTTGGAGTGCAGGAATCACAAACATAAAATCCCCCATCATCTCATGGAACTGGAGTTGGAGAGCCTGGGGGTCTTCAATATCCCCCATGTATTCTTCAATGAACAGGTCAGCAAGCTCAGCAGGCAACATCTAGCTCAGGTAGATTGTGGAGAGTCAAGTTAGGAGGTTTCTGGGCATGGAAGGGAGCTTAGGATGGGAAAACAGATAATGGTCTATGGATTTGGGATTGTAAGAGACTGATCCACCTACAACCAAATACACAGTTCAGCTTTTGTTTGATGACATAGCTACATCGGTATGAATCTGGGGTGCCATATCTGTGGGGTAGGAACACAGGAGCCTCACCATCTGTGCTGACATGTTCTGCAGAACAGTATGCAGAGTCTCTCTGCTCATTTCTTTCTGGGTGTCGGCAGAGCCTAAAAACTGGATAGTGGAGGAAATGTGTAGAGTTGCCTGTGTAACCCAGAGGACCCCTACAAACAAAATCTATACCCCCAGGGGCCTGGAATTTAGCTCAGTGGTTCCACCGCCTGCCTCGCAAGCACAAGGGCCCAAGTTCCATCCCTGGTACCAAAAAAGAAAAAAGAAAGAAACAAACAAACAAAGTATACCCCCAAATACTGGAACTGGGACTTACCATGGGCAAGCTCCAGCCATACTCATCACTGTTGACACCAATGATGCTGGGGACAGGATGAAAGTCAGCAGAGGCCAGCAGCTCCTGGGGGTGCCTGGGCAGGAAGGCCCCATCCACTACAGCAGGGATCATCTTGAAGGACTAAGGGGGCATTCATATCAGGGATCAAGGTCAGGTCTCAGGTACTTTCTAATGCCCAATGGCTTACTTCCAGTCCCTGTTAACTCATCCCAGGATGCTCACATCCACCTCATATATCCCACGCTTGTCTTAGCAAATCTTTGTACACATTTCCCATCCAGATCTGCATGGTCAAGAATGGATATAGATGTGGTTATCAGCCCATAGTGAAAGGGAATCACTCTCAGACAATATCATCCCCTTCTTTCAATCCTCAGAACAGCCAACCTTTGTAATAGCCACAATCTCCTCTTCACTCTTGCCACGTAGGCATCTCACCATGGCTTCTGAGTCAATCTGTCCACAGCCAGACCGGTTGGCCACCATCTGAAATTAGTTCAGGCAGGAGCTGGCTCATCCTTCCAGGCAGGAAGTGAATGTAGTAAGGTACAGCTAGATCCCAAATTTCACAGGATATCCTGTACAAATTGCTGCCAAAATGAAATTCTTCTACCATTCCTGTTACTCAGAAGTCTCAGCCAGAGGGGCTATTTATTTCATGGTTCTGCCCACAATGGTAGCCTCATGAGTTAGCTTTGCTGATGACAGATCATGCTCAGCTTGTTGGAGGCAGTGCATGGATTGTCACCCTTAAAGACCTCAGCAATTTCTAGGAAGACAGTAGTTCCTAAAGCAACTCAACTGCCTTTGTTGTCCCCATTGAAAGATAACTCAGGAGAGCCTCTGAAGGTGAGGGAAGGAAGAGGGGTCTGGGGCAGAGGTAGTTGAGGGTACTCACAGTGTAAACAGCCTCAGATGAGCTGGAGATGAGATCGGGCATGAGGGCCACCCCACTCTCCATGATGGCACCATGGAAGAGTCCACGAGTCATTGGGGATAAGACAAGTGACGACACGCTTACACCACCTGAAGACTCCCCAAAAATGGTGACCCGGTCAGGGTTGCCTCCAAAGTGAACTATATTCTGTTGCACCCATTGTAAGGCAGCCACTTGGTCCAGGTAGCCCCAGTTGCCAGTGGCATGCTGGTCTCCAGTGCTGGGAAGTGACAAGGACAGGGATCACAAGCCTATCCTGGCTCTGCTCAGCCTTACTTCCCAGCCCGGCTAGAAACTGACCTGAAGAATCCCAGGACACCCAGGCGGTACTGGATAGTGACCACCACCACATTCTCAGAAGTTGCCAGAATGGAGCCGTCAGTCATGGAAGCCATGCCCATAATTAGCCCACCTCCATGAATCCATACCATCACCTGGAGAAATTAAGATAAAGACCATGTGGATTTTGCCCAGCCCAAACACCACCTGGTCTCCTCATACACTATCCACTGTTTAGGCTCTGTTTGGTCCTATCACATAGAATTCCAGTAAGATCACATACCTGAGACATGTATGACAGACCCAAATTTAATCATGTACACCAGGACATTTACTTTTGGGTCAACCCCATGAATCCAAGACTGGATCTATTACTGTCTGACCCCTTGGCACTGGAAAAAAAGGGAATGGGAGCTTCTGATATTGTTCCAACTAAAAAGTAATAAAAACATTATTTCATTGGCACAACAGATAAACCACAGGTGGGTTCTTGGGTGATTTCTAAAGAGTTCTGGTCTCTGGTACTAGTAAGGACTCTATGAGTTCATGTCTAGGGATCAGTTACCCATCCTATTTCAGAAGTCCTTCTTGGTCTCCATAGCAGAAGGCTTCACAGCAGGATCCACACTGGAACAGAACCAGGCTAAATTTATTCTCCTTCATTTTTGTTTGATTTTGTGGTGCTTGGCCTTGGACCTAGAACTTTGTGCTTGGTAGGCAAATGTCTATCATTAAGCTACATCTCAGGCCACCTTCTAATCTTGGAGTAAAAATGTCATCCCATACCAAAGCTGACCATGGCTTGACACTTACAGGCAGGCGAGACCCCTTGTGGACATGGGAAGGTGTATAGATGTTGAGATACAGACAGTCCTCAGATACAGGGATAGAAGGAAGGATCAGATCATGCATCTTTATTACGTCAGTATCTTGTAGACACCTGGTGACAAAAGTAGACTGTTAGTTCAAGGATTGTTCTGGTCAGTACCAGACAAGGGCATCTGACTATCAGTTGGCCCAGAGACTCTAGAGGGTTGAGTCTCAAGGATTACCATTACTGTCATCTGAGAGATCTGCAGTATCTGCTGCTGGATCAGAGGTTCTTACAAGATTCACTGATTAACCTGACCTCTTCCAAAGACCTCCCCAATGTGATAGAACATGTGGCAAAACCCAAAGCTTCAAAGAAATGTGTCTCTGCCCCTCTCTTCAGCTCCTCATGCTAATACCTTTAGGCTGCCAAGGCCTGAGCCAACAGTCTAACATAGTGCCTCTACCCTCTGCAGCCTGGCATGTCCATAGTAGGGATCCTCCCAAAGCAGAGGAAAACTGGCTTCAGGACTTAGATGGCAGAACCACTGCAGCCTGACTCTGAGCACCCACCCTTCCCTAGGGCCTGAATTTCCCCAGCTCCCCAGAGAGCTTACATAGCAGGAAAGGTGGTTCCATCTCTCACTCCACTCCAGGGCTCAGGGGCCTCAGGGGGTGCAAACCGCAGTGGTCCTACAGGTGGCTTGGCAAAGGGAATTCCCAGGAAGGTGTGGACCCCCGTGTTGGTGCCCTTCACATGGACGAGGCTGCCCCGCACCTGCCCTATGTTTGTGGCCCGGATGGGGCTGGCAGAGTCCTGGGCTGTGGACAGAGTAATACACATCAGAGTGGGGTCTGCCCAGTCAGCTGCCTCCCACACTGATTATTGCCATCTCCTTGCCATCCTCAGCTCAGCCCTGTTAGGGACCCTGATTTGAAAACCCTGGCTTCTCACACCTTGTCACACTCTCTTCCCATAATATCACTGCTTGGATATTAGGGGGTAAGGAAGGAAGTCTAGCAGGGTTTGCCCAGGCAGTGAGGTGAGTGTTGACTCTCTGGTAGACTGGATTGGGGAAGTATGAGGGAGATCAGCAGGTCCCACCGTAGGAGCCTTTCTGTGAGAGAGTCAAAGTCTGCAGACACACCCTGTACATGGAGCCATACTGGCACCGGCTCCTGATAAGAGTCCAAAGATTACCTGACTGTGATAGACCGTTTCAGGGCACCTTTGCCCTGAAACCAATCCACGCTTTGCCCCAAGTCAGGAGCATGGGTTGAAGGGACCCGGTACACTCTCACTTTAGCTTCGGAATGTGGTGCCCAGGGCCTTCTGTGTCCCTCAAGATCTGTTACCTTGCCTCTGGAGAGTATTACTATGATATTTTTCTGACTAAGGGAATGTCACACTCAGAGATAAAATGAAGCAGGAAGTTATTCTCATTTTTGTTACACCTGAGGGCCAAGGGCAGCTATAGACAGTCACACACACCCAGGAGGGAGATGTCCTAAATCCCAGCCAGCTCTGAAGCCACAAGGCTTCCCACCTGTCCATATGTGCTTCTTAGTCATCCTCAGATTGGACTTCTTATTGGTGTTGGGTGTCCTTGGGCAGTTCTGACCCCCATGCTACTGAGGCCCATTTTGGAATCTTGTTTTGGTCTATTTGTGGGCACATACTTCCCACACTATCATCTGCCACGTCAACCAGCTTTTCCCTCCCTGGCATTTCTCTCTCACCTCACTGCCCTCCAACACTGCACATTCAGGCTCTGCTGTGAACACTTTGGCAGATGTGACTATGCCACCTGGTATTTTCTGGGAGATTCTTACCTTGGCCTGGATGTAGAATTAAGAGCCCACAGGTCACAGCCCTCAGCAAGCTGAGAAGTTGGTCCAGTGCCATTGTCAGTCTGGCTGTATTTTGGTGCTGCTGGAGGCACTCTCCCTTTCACCAACAGGAAGCCTGGGAACAGAGTCCTGCCCAAGTCAGAGTTTGAATCCAACAGGGAGGAGGCGGGGCATCTGGTGAGCCAGGCAATGGATGCTGCAGGGGAGCAGTACTGATTGGGCAGAACTTGCACACAGCCAATGGCCAGCAGGCAGGACATGGTCACATGTCTTCACTCTTAGCTCTTTTTAGAAAAACTTTTTATTAGTATATGTTTGCCATTCATAATGTTTACATTCATCTTGGGGAGTTTCTAGCCATACACATCGTAACTGTCTTTTTCCCATTCCCCTGCTCACTCTTCAATTTTTCTTCCCCTCATCAGTATACAACAGTTTTGTTTGCAAGCTTTTATTCCATTGTCTTTATCCCCTTTTATCCCCCCCAAACCCTCCCTTGAAATGTCTGGCAACACAGAGGCAACAAATATATGGGTGTAGAACCACATGCTGGGCAATGGTTCTACCCTGAACTATGTCCCCAGATCAGTTCTATTCTTCTTGCAGAACAAATTTCCTCCCAACCTCAACTGACCATATCTGATATTCAGTCAGGTCATAATGATCATTGAAAAGCACAGGTATGTATATGCTCAGGTACAAGCAGTACTCAGTTGTGGGGATTAGACTTAGCATCAAACACAAAAGATTCAGACCCTCTGCATTCGTTACATCTGTATTTGGAAGACACCTAGTCACAATAGCAGAAGCTTATTCCAGGCTCTGTGCAGTGGTCAAAACAAATTTTCTCTAAGCCACCATCAGTCATTACTCTCCCTCCAGTCCTGTTTATGCCTGATCTTTCCATTAAGTCCCTGCCCAGCAAAGTACAGGCCACAGGCTCTGGGGAAGGTGTAATGAAGCACAGACTTCCACTGAGACATCAGGATGACTGAAGGCCTTGATTTTCTCATTCTTTCTGAAGCTGGGAAATTCTCACTTAACAACCAGGAAGGAAATGTGCCAAATCCCAGCTCCTCTCCCAGACTTCAGACCTGGCTGTCCTATGTTCCTTGGCAATCCTCGTTTTGTTCTCCTCCTTGGTGTTGGATGACTCAGACAACCCTGATGTTCATAATCCATGCAGGGCCCATCTTGGGGGCTTGGATTTGGGCATTTTATGGGCACAGAATTGCCACACTATCAATTGACATCTCTCCCATCTCCTCCCTCCCTGGCATTTCTCTTTCACCTCAGTCCCTCTGTACCTGCAGTTTCTGGTTCTGGCTCTGCCTTCTTTGGCAGATGAGACCACAGTACCCGTCATCTTCTGCAAGATTATCACCTTAGCCTGGAACTAGAAGAATTAGGAGCCCAAGGCTTCAGTGCTCAACAGGGTAGAAAGTCTGTACAATCGCATAGTCAGTTTTCCTTTGTGTCCTATCCTACTAGGGATGTGCTGTGTTTCACCCACAGGCAACCTCACTGAAGTATAGCCCAGATAGGAGTTTGAACCCATCAGGGAGAAGGTGGGGGCACTGGGTGGGCCAGAAAATGTGGCTGCTGCTGCAGAGTGGCGTTGACTACGCGGCAGTCACAGGGAGCCAGTGGCCAGAACTCAGCCCATGGCTGGCTGGCTTTTTCCTTCATCTTTTTCATTCAGCATCCTTTGAAGGTGTATTTGAGACACCAGGAATACTCTCCTTGAACTTGGAGCCACCGAGTTCAGTTTTTTACTGTCACAGCTATGAGGGGAGTAAGAGGGATCAAGAAGCTATAATTGGAGAACTTGGGAGCACTTCTCTAAGGAGGTTTCATCTGAGGACCACAGAGATAGGGAAGAGGAGCTAACTTTGATGCAGCTAAAGGGAACAGCTTGAACAAATCAGAGAGGTGAGGCTCTCCCCTTCATCCTGAGGACTCCTCTTTGCTTCTTGGACCCATAGTTGACTGGGGTTTCTTCAAGGTTCCTCATGCCCTCATAGTCTTTGCTGAGGATCTCTAACAGACACTCCCTCCCTATTTCTACCATGATTATTTGATGCAGACACACTGGAGACTCTGGAAGCACCTCATTTCCCCCTCTTATACTGAAGATTGAACCCAGGGCCACGGCACTGAGCTAAATCCTTGGTATCTTTGTATTATTTATCGTGAGACAGGGTCTCTCTAAGGTGCCAAGTTGCCTAGGTTGGGCTCAAACTTGTGATCCTCCTGTGTCATCCCTTCAGAGTGCTTGGATTACAGGTGGGTGCCACTACACCTGGTTCTAGCACTTCTCACAGATCTACCCCTTCTACTCATCTGCCCCCTACCTGGTACCTTTCCCACCAAAATGCCACTTCTGCCAAAATGGAGTTTATAGTCATTTATTCACTTGAGAAACACGTAACTGAACCTACAAAGCTGAGGACCCCACAGGGCTGTCCTGTGCCTACAGTACCTCTGGTAAGCTAGGTGCATAACTGGGAGATTCCAAACCAGGAAAATCTTTGCAAGATACAGTAAGGAGAGCAGCCTCAAGGAGTGCCAGCCCAGTTTGATTTCTGGAGGAAGTGACACAGTCTCAACCTCAGGTGACCTATAGTGCCCATTTTCAACCAGGCTTGGTCTCTTCATACAGCCTCCAATGATCTTAGGTTCCCATAGCCCAGTGCTCCATGTTTCTCTTCTTTTCCTTTTCCTGGGAATAATGTCCACATTAAAAGTAGATTTGAGTAATAAGTGCACAGACAATGACAGGACATCTTGAGTTCCACCTGTAGTTAACTCAGTGTTTCCTATCCAACTCTTACTGGTCCAAGCCATGGTCCCAGCCCTTGCTTGAGCAGATGCTTTCACTGCCCTTTATTTAGTCTCTTTCCCTAAGTAATAGCTGTGCTGTGCTGTGAGAGACTGCTTGGGCCTGCATAAGATGACTGCCCTCAACCTTAGCCTTTGCCTCAGTGGAAAAATCCCACTAGACTACATACGTGACTTATGGCAGGTCTAGCCCCTGGGCAAACAGGGAATCTTACAGAAAAAATAGCCCTTTGTGCTAACCACAGGGTCACGGGATCTGGAGCAGGAGGCCGGTGGTATTTCCTTGTCCTGCTTGCCCCTAGAGATTGTTAAGTTAAAGATTGCATAGGGTTAATTGCTGATGTACGCCTTCCCACCTACCCCTCCCCATATTTGGTAAAATACTGATTGCTGTATGGTTAAATGCTTGAGTGACTCATGTGATTGATTTGTTTGAACTGTCCAATAAGCTTGCTGAACCTTCCCCCTGGGATAACAGTATATAATCGTTTTGCTGAGCCAATAAAGCGCCTTTGATCAGAAACCAGACTTGGGCCGTGTACTCTAACTTCTTAAAGATTTCCTCCACAGACATTCAAGATCGGATCGGCCTCTGATGACCCACGAATAAGAGGCGGCTCTCACCTCCTATTCCCCGCGGGACGGGGTCCCCCCAGAGAGCCGCAACTGGCGCCCAACGTGGTTTACAGAGGTTACCGACTCCCGATCGGACGGCAGAGAGACGACGAGTCCGGAGCCCGCCCGTCAGACACCAGGTAAGCCCCATCCGGGTGGTGCAGGGTTGGGGTTAGTCAAATCTTAGCTAAGGCACAGCCGCCGTCCCAAAGTTCCCCGAGAATAGGGGGAACGCAGTTAGTGAAGGAGCTAAATTTATCTCTGATATAAAAAAGCAGTTGAAAAACCGTAATATTGAAGTTAGAAAGAAAGATCTCTTGCAATTTCTGCTGTTTGTACACGAAGTATGTCCCTGGTTCGTTATCACCTGCCCCAAAATTGTGCCTTCCACATGGGACCAGATTGGTCGCGAGCTCGCTGACTACTTTGATCAGCACGGCAGCGACTCAGGCAAGGACATGATGCTCCAGTACTGGCAACTTCTTAAAAATATCATTGTCGATGTCCCCCATTGCCCTCTTTCTAGTCAGATCATTCAAAATGCACAAGAGCACCTGGAATTGGCCTCTCGTCATTGCTCGCGCTCTCAATCCAGAGCCAGTTCCTTTGTTAACTTAGCTGACCCTGCTTCGCCTTTGTCTGATCCCCTCCCCCCGCTAACCGATTCGGCCACTCAAACCACCCCACCCTCACCTCCCTCTCTTACGCGCCGAACTCGTTCCTTTGTTTCCACCCTCTATCCGTCTATACGCGCCGTTCCTTCGGCCCCCACCTCGGACGCTATTTTACGTCCTCCACCCCAGAACGCCATTTTGGATCCTACAGATTCCGCACATTTGGAAAGGGAGGCTGATTTCCTCTCTCGCTGCAAGGCCCTGGCAGGCAAGGACTCTGACCTCTATGCTCGCATCGCTGGCCTTCCCCCTTTTCATACCATTCAGGAACAACATACGCTTTCCAGGTCGCAATTACCCAACACGGCTCTCGCAGCCCTACGCGCTTGGAAGTCTCTTCCCAGGGCGGGTGCCCCGGCAGCACCTCTCTCAAAAATCATCCAGGGCCCCGAGGAGTCTTTTAGTTCCTTTATCTCCCGTCTCTCGGAGGCAGCTGAGCGTGCCCTCGGTGACGCCGCCACTGTGGCAGACAGCGCCCTCATTAGACAATTAGCCTTTGAAAATGCTAATGAGACCTGCAGAGCTATTCTAAAACACAACTCCAAAGCCAAAACTCTGCACGACATGATTAATCTCTGCCGAGAGGCAGATCCTTTTATGCACAAGATTACTAAGGCCCTTGTCGCCTTCCAAGGCCAAAACAGGGGTAAAACATGCTTTCAATGCGGCCAGCCCGGCCATTTTGCCTCCCGCTGTGGAAAGTATTACCTCAGGGCATGGCCAATAGCCCTACCTTATGTCAATATTTCGTAGCTAAAGTTTGTTTAATAGTAAATGAGACAGAAAAATATTAGAAAAGCTATAAGTAAGAGTTGTACTTTTAACATGAAAGGTTTTTGTATGTTCCTCTTGTCTTTACCTAAGAATGTAGAGAATGTTTATGGAAATGATTTATAAAATGTTTGCTTGTTGGTTTCAAGTTTGTTATAAAAGGTTTACATTTATAGTCAAGAAGAGTATTCGTTCCTTTAACCCTAATTCTACAAGAGATCTCTGTTAATTTTGATCTGCAAAAATTTTGACTAGTCATAACAAAAAGATTTTATAATTCATTTGGCCAAAACCATCTGAGTGCACTCATTAAAATTGTCTTATATGTTTGTCTGTCTTAAATGTTCAAAGATGTTTGTATGTTCTTGATCAGAATGACGTCAAATACAAATAGATTGTTGATTTCTACAACCTGGCTTTATAGGATCAAATAAAAAACTTAAAAGATAATTAAATATAACCTTTAAGTTTGGATATGCTCCTGTTGGTAAATAAAGAAGCAGCTGCTCAGAAAATTTATTCTGATCTTTGTTCACTAATGGGAGCCACCAAAATAATTTTCATAGCCCTATAAAAAAGATATGTCTTGTTAAATATGTTAAAAAAAAAGGGGGGGGAGAGATCCTGTTAATACAAAGCTACATTACAGTACATAAGATTTCATATAAGTATTATTATTGCTACTTTTCTGGTATACAAAATGTATTCATATTGTTTGACCATGCAGGTTTTCCAACATATTGTTTATGACAATAACCTTTTGGTCTAGGTGTTCTCCCTTTTCTTCTGTTCCACCTAATTATGGTTACAGATATGTTTATAGACCTATCACTATCCTTGAGCAGCTTGAAGCTGGGTTTCCACTGAGGAGACTGGATTGGGACCCCAACACTGAAGCAGCAGAGAAAACTCCAGGATGTGTCTCAGTGCACAAGTGGAAATTTCATTCCAAAAAGCAAAAAGGTTTTCCTTCTTTATCCAGAATGAGGATTTAATGGGACTGGTGATTTAATGAGACATCTCAAAAGTTTTTGGACTGGTCACTTCTAAATTCCACAAACTTAAGCTTATCTGCAGGACTTTGGTAAACAGATTCAGGTTTTCCTCAAACCAACATTTGGAAACCTGCTGCATTGGGAAAAATACATTTATGGTCAGATGTCAAAGTTACTAGCCTTAGTTTCAATATTGTTGGCATACAGGCCTCTAATATAATGTCTTGTGTTAATGCTCATAGAGATTGTTTATGAAACTAATAATATTGATTGTCAATTGACCAATTGTATATTCTCAGAAATGGTGACTTCCTTTCATTCTGTGATGGGTTTGAGACAACCTCTCTTTATAATGATGCCTGTGAAAACTTAATGAGTCCTGGTATGAAGATCAAGGTTTACAAATATTGGTAGAGGTAGAGAAAGCTATATGTCGAGCCTTCACAACCCATGGTATAACCCCTGCAGAGGCTGGGTTTATGGGATTACGGGTGTCGACCTGGAGCTCACTGTAATCCAGACTAGTTTTATGGGATTATGGGCGTGCACCACCACGCCCGGCAAACAATACCACTGGACAGGTCAGGTTGAGTGGGGCCTTCGCCTTCACATCAGCGGCCGTGATCCGGGTCTCACCTTTTCCATCAGGCTTTTGAAAGAACCACCTCAGTTCAAACCCATTGCCATTGGCCCCAACCCCCTTCTTTAAGAATGTTGCTTTTTTAAAGATAAACTGGGCCTAGTGGATGATAGCATTAGAAGGGTTGAGGAAAGCCTCGAACAAAGGCAGAGGCAACGGGAAAAGGACGAATCTTGGTATCAAAATTGGTTTTCTACCTCCCCCTGGCTGTCCACCCTGTTACCCAGCCTTTTAGGACCCTTTATTGGCTTTATGCTGTTGATTTCCTTTGGCCCATGGGCATTCCGCCGCCTCACGAGTTTTGTTAAGAACCAGGTTGATGAGGCCACCAAACACTCCATACAAGTGCACTACCAGCAGCTCTCCTCTCAGGACCCTGAAAATAGCCAGCCCGCTGGTGACCATGGGTTCCAACCCCTAAGCTTTGTAGAATTTGAACAGATGGCTGAGCGCCGTCGTTCGCTCTGCTCCAGGCTGTGGAGGTGTCTCCGACGGGATTAGCTTGATGCCGGTACCTGGGGGCAGCGTGACTCGCTGGAACCTCTATGCATCACGTCCAGGTCCGGAGGCACATCAAGTAGCCTAAGACATGAGCCCTCCACCCTAATCTTG